CTCTCACAACCCCCTTCCCCCCTCGTATAAGAATCACTGCATCGGTTGTGTTGGAACCAGTGCCAAATGGGTTGTGATTCCGTGCAGACAGTTTCCGATTGTGATTATTACGCTGCCGATACACGGTGTGACCGGTGAATCGTTTTTCCGCTACGCTCGGAGCTACGAATTATTTTTGATTCTGCGGCGAGGTCGTGCGTTTTTACCTTTTTTCTTTTTCGTCTTCTTCTTCTTCGCACAGTATTATTAGTTAGTGCCGATCGTAGAATCTCGCTCTGTCGGCTCGCTTCACGATCGGATCGCCGAGCACCGGCACATACGACACACGGATCGATCCTCGTGCCGTCGTTTTTTTTTGTATTAGCATCGATCGTTACGCGTTATTATTATATAGTAGACCGATCTTTTTCTTCGCGCATAATCCGCGAGTGCCCTGGGTGCGACCGGAGTGATCGGTAGAGTGTGCTATGCGAGCATGACAGCCATGGAGGACGGAACGATCGCCGACGACCGAGAGGAGGCGACGATGGAGGCGATACTCGGCCGCGACCAAAGGACCACGTCCCACAGAGTTCACGATCACCGTCGTGACCCGCTCGACGGCAACGTGACAGCGACGACGACGACGACGACGACACCGGCCGCCGTCGTGAAAACGTCGTCGACGAGATGGTGCCGGGGCCTGCCCGCGAACGGCCGCCGCGCCGACGTGATCGGTCCCGGGATTAATAAAAATGATCATGCACAGAGACACTCGGATAGTGATTCATACTACGTACCTGCATTTTACGACGATCGAAGGATACGATCGAGACACAACGCATCCATCACCGCGACCACGTGGCTGAGTAAGTCGAACTACTGACTTAGATTGCCGGGGGAACATGCGCGACAACTGTTGCTCCTATCGCTCCCCTTCTCTCTCTCTCTCTCTCTCTCTCTCTCTCTTTCTCTCTCACTCTCTCTCTTTCTTTCTCTCTTTTCTCTTTCTCTTGCTATACCACTCTTTCTCTCTCTATCTTTATCTCTCTCTTTCTCTTCTCTCTTTCAGTCTCTTTCTTCCCTCTCGTCGAATCGTCGACGGAGCGACGTACGTCAGCCCGGATTTCTGCGATCTTCGGTGCTCGAGGTTCGCAAGCGACGATTTCCCCTCCATAGGAAAACACGGGATTAGCCAAAAAAGTCCATTCTCTGTCTTGGTTGTCGTTAAGCTTCCTTTTTATTTCTCTCTGTTTACGTTGCAGTTCGATGAATCGGTCTAAAAACGTGACACGAATCGAGCACAATCGATGAACGTCTCGTCCCATCGTTTTGCAATAATTTCGCAACGGAGAAAGGAAATGCATATGAAAGTACACATATTCGAGCGCTTAGATATCGCGCTCGAAGGAGAAGAATGGAATTTAACCGATGCTAATTAATACGTAACAAGCTCGCCGCGAGAAATCTGCATCGCGCGCGAGTCGAAGTCCGGGCCAAACCGAAGCGCGAAACATTTCCCGAGAGGCGAGTGCGAGAACGTGTGTACAGTAATGTTTCCCTAACTGACGCTCGGATCGCGCAGAAAAAATGGACAATTTGGGAAGAGGAGATACGATTATTTCGACAGCCTTGCGACTCGTTTTTGTAGTTCTTGACAATGAAAACGAACCGCGAGGCTCGATTAATCGTATCTCCTCTTCCCGAATTGTCCATTTTTGTGCGCGATCTGAGCGTCAGTAAGGAAGACATTACTATAAAAGGAATACAATAATGTCTCTCTAATTGACGCTCAGATTGTCCACGAAAATGGACAATATTATTCGATTATTCGCGAGCCTTGCGGATCGTTTTTATAGTTATGAATTGCCAACAATTATAAAAAGCGAGCAACAAGGCTTGAATAATCGTATCTCCTCTTCCCGAATTGTCCATTTTTGTGCAGAATCTGAACGTCAGTAAGGGAGACATTATTGTATTGCGATTTCTCAACGAAGGCGAACTTTGACAGAGAAAATGAGACCTTTTACCCCAATAAATTGATAATTCGAGTTATGCTTATTATTCTTCAACTTGAATATTGATTTTTCTCAAAATATCGGATCTCTGAGAGCACGAATTTCATTAAAAAGCGTAACGCAAAGTTGTGTACCCATTACTGCGAGCCAAATACTGTGGACATTCTGAGTAACGCGAAAACGAATAGCAAATCTGCGCGATCCAAGCGTCAGAATTGCCAATTAGAGAGACATTTACTGTATTTCGATCTCGTCGAAGAACTCGTCGACACGTGACGTTATCGGCCGGCCTTTCTATCTAAGCACGTTGTCGGAGTAAAAGTTGCATCCTCTTTCCGGTGGAGAAATGGTTTCGCCGAATTGATTCGGAAATCGCGGCAAGATATAATACCCGATTTCGCTCCTCCTCGCAATAATTTGTGCACACGTTGTCCGTTCCATCGCTCGCGACCGGCGAACGAAGGAGGAGACTTAACCGAGCGCGGCATTAAAAAATTGCATCATCGATTGGCAATCATCGTCGATCGTTCAATTAATTTCTCTGCGAACCGCGGCGAGGTTTGTGCTCGCTCAAATTACGTCTTACCGGATAGCAGGCGCTGATCCGCGCGCGGCTCCTCGCGTAACGAGATTACACAAACTAGAAATTCATTATCATTTCGCGTATCTGCGCGTCGGACGCGCGTCCTCGCGGCTTGACTCGCCGAAAATTCACGTTCTCTTACGTAATTTCCTTCGGTCTTATCCCCCGTTTCTCTGTTCTCTCGCCCGAATCCGGCCGCCTTTCTTCCCGAAGATTCGGCCGCGCCGGCGAGAAACAACGCTTCGAGTCGACGTTTGTGGCAGCTCCGACGCGACTTCTCAATGACTTTTCGTCAATGATTCCACTCGGACAGTAGCGCGAAGCATGTATTCGGCAAAAGCGACGATTAGAGCGACGTCGTCGCGCGTCATCCGGCCGTCAGACGTCAGGAACGGCGGTTCCGACGATGGGACGCGTCGGGAAATTCGACGATAATCCACGCGTGTAGCCGCGACAACGTCGATTCGACAGGTGTCCGACGTGATCCGGCGACATTCTTCCGTTCGGTCCGTCGTCCTTACCGTTCCTTTTTCCGATTCGACGTCATGTTTCAGAAAGTCGGCGGACACGTTAGTCATCGCACCGCGGTTCCCTTATCGGAGATCGCTCTCGCGTTATAGCGACCGCGCTTCGTTGTTCCTTCCCGTTCGAAAAACCCCCGAAATTCGGTGGAAACGGACCCGACACATCGCAGTTACGTTCTTTCGTAATCGATAAGCCTTCTAGAAGTCAGAGAAACGTATTCGTAGCGTCTGTTATCGAGCAATCTACGAAACCCGGAGCGAAAACTGAACGAAACTCGGCGAAACGAAGAAATCGTCGTAGAAATGAATCTCGTCAAAAATCCCCGAAATTCGGTGGAAACGGACCCGACACATCGCAGTTTACGTTCTTTCGTAATCGATAAGCCTTCTAGAAGTCAGAGAAACGTATTCGTAGCGTCTGTCATCGAGCAATCTGCGAAATCTGGAGCGAAAACTGAATGAATCTCGGCGAAACCGAGAAATCGTCGCAGAAATGAATCTCGACGGACAAGTAATTCTATTTGCCGTTGACAAGTTCAGTGTCGCGTGTACCACGCGTGGGTGACACTAATTTGTAACTAGCTTTTTGAAATTCATTTTTATTGTATTATATTGAACGAATCGAATGTTACTAAGATTTACAAAATACCAACTAGAGTACCGAATCTATATTTCCTGTGGCAAATTTTCGCTTTCTAGTTTCGCTATCACTGATTAAATGACTGTGATACTTTTAATGTTCCTCTTTTAAATGACTTTGAATTCTTCGAGTTGATATTCGGCACTCAACGCGTCGATTGGCCGGAAAAACTGCGACGCCGGCGCTCTAAAACTGCAGAGAACGCCGCTTCCGATCGCGTCGAAGCGTGCGAAAGCAGCGAAAAGCGCGAGACCGCGGCAGAGGAGGCGTGTGCGTTCAAAACACACCCACCTGTTGAACATTCTCAAATCTACAGGTAGGCCTGCGCCATTCACAGGTCCCGGAGACCGTGCAGGAACCTCGCGCTGCTCGAACAGTACGGTCGAATCGTTCCGTGAAACGTTCGCTCGAAAATCTCGATGAAGCATTCGATTCGTTCTACTGAAACCTAAATGAATCTTTAACAGATACACTTTTCTTTTTAGTAAAAATTCGATCGTTGTGTTTATAAGCAAAATTATTAAGCACGTGCATTTGCGATAACGCGTTTAGAGGACTAATCTCGAGAATTGGCTGCTATCTTCTATCGATCAGCGAAACAAAGAGTCTGCGAGCCGGTGAGGATGAAACTGGACGATCAGAAGCGACGTTCTTTGCACTTTCAGAGTGCCGGCGTGGCAGTTTTCTGGCCAATTAATCGGCAAATGGAATCACTTGTACGTCGAGAATTCATTTTTGCGACGATTTCTTGGTTTTATCGAGAGTTAAAGTGCGCGTTAAAGTGCACGTGACACGCTGAAGTGCCGAATATTAACTCGAAAAATTCAAAGTCATTTAAAAAAGGAACGTTAAAAGTATCACAGTGATTAAATTAATGAAACCGAAACTAGAAAGCGAAAATTTGCCACAGGAAATATAGTTTCGGTATTCTATTTGATATTTTATAAATCCCAGTAACATTTGTTTCGGTCAATATATTACAATAAAAATGAATTTCACAAAGCTAGTTAAAAATTAGTGTCACCCACGCATGACTCACGCGACACTGAACGTGTCAACGGCAAATAGAATTACAGTAATGTCTCCCTAATTGACGCTCAGATTGCCCACAAAGATGGACAATTTGGGAAGAGGAGATACGATTGTTCGAGCCTTGCGGCTTGTTTTTATAGTTATCGACAATCGGTAATTATAAAAAACGAGCCGCAAGGCTCGAACAATCGTGTCTCCTCTTCCCAAATTGTCTATTATAGTGCACAATTTGGGCGACAATTAGGGAGACATTACTGTACTTGTCCGTCGAGATTCATTTCTACGACGATTTCTCGGTTTCGCCGAGATTCATTCAGTTTTCGCTCCAAGTTTCGTAGATTGCTCGATAGCAGACGCTACGAATACGTTTCTCTGACTTCTAGAAGGCTTATCGATTACGAAAGAACGTAAACTGCGATGTGTCGGGTCCGTTTCCACCGAATTTCGGGGATTTTTCGAACGGGAAGGAACAACGAAGCGCGGAAAGCAACGAAGTCGCTATAACGCGAGAGCAATCTCCGATAAGGATTTCCGTTTTCCGCGGCGATGATTGACGAGTGAAAAATCGCGATTCGGATAAGAGAGAGAGAGAGAAAGAGAGAGAAAGAGAGAGAGAGATCGGCGGTGTTTAATCCCGGCGGCGAAGACCGTCGACGAAGTCGGCTCGCGGTTCGCCGGCCCGGCATTCAAAACCGCCGCGCGGAATTAATGACGAGCGTAGGGCTGCCGGGATCGTGGAAAAATGGTCAGAAAACGGCGTATAATAAATCGACGAGCGTATATACTTACCGTGTACCGCAACCTACCGCAACGCGCTCCGGTCCGGGCATGGACACGATCGCGAAGATAAGGGGGTGGCGGGACGGGCGTAATGGGGTATAATTGTCGCAAGCAATGCGAGGACAGTGCGTCATTACCGCATTTTTCAGCATCTTCTTGCCGGCGAACGGCGGAGATGCGTCTTGCACCGGTGTTCACAGGCTCCGCACGCCTTACTTTTTTCCACGGAGCCGCGGGTTCTCAGGAATTTCGTTGGAACGCCGTCGCCGAGCGTTGTCGTTGAGGTAGGCCC